GACCTTGTGGCTCTGTGCAAGTCCCTTGGAGGAGGGTGGAGAGAGGTGGGGGTGGGTCTGTTCAACCAAGGAGCAAGGGGCAGGACAAGAGGAAATGACCTCCAGTTGCACCAGGGGAGGTTTACATTGGATATTGGGAAATATTTCTTTCCAGAAAGGGTTATTAAGCACTGGAACAGGATGCCCAAGGAAGTGGTTGAGTCACTATCCCTGGGGAGATTTGAGACATGTAGATGTGGCATTTAGGGACATAGTTAGTGGTGGACTGGACAGTGTTAGGTTAATGGTTGGACTTGATCTTAAAGGTCTTTTCCAACCTGAACAATTCTGTGATTCTCTAACACGTTACATTTGAAGACAGTAGGAGAAAGCCAAGACTGACCATGTCTTGCTCCTCACAGCGCTGCAAGCTGGAAGCTGCTGCAGCCAACGCCGAGCAGACTGGGGAAACAGCCATCAAGGATGCAAAACACAAACTCTCAGAGCTGGAGACAGCCCTACAGCAGACCAAGGCAGACCTGACTCAGCAGCTCCATGAGTACCAGGACCTCATGCACATCAAGCTGGCCCTGGACGTTGAGATTTTCACCTATAGGAAGCTGCTGGAAGGAGAGGAGAGCAGGTGAGTGACAGACCCTGCTGAGTGACATCCCAGCAGGGCTGCATAAGCTAGTTTAGATGCATATGTTGAAAGGAAAAAACAAATGGCCAGAGCTGTTTTGGAGCTGCCATGGTGCAAGTCAACTACACAGTCCTGATGCAGATCAGTTCTTCTCATCAGTCCTAAGAGACCTCCACCAGTGCAAACCCACCCAAACAGCCAGTCCTGCTGCCTCTAAACAGTGAGGGACAGGCTAGAGAGGGTCAGGAACACATTTGAAGCTATAAAAGGCTTTTGCATCTGAAGATAGATTGATAATGTACAACCTCTTCCCATTCTCTACAGGCTCTCTCCAGAAGAAGGCTTCCCTGTCAGCATCCGTAAGTTGGAGCATCCACCTTCTACCAAACTTCTACCACATCTTCCACCTTTTTTCCAGGGAATTCCCTAAGCTGAAACTCAGCTTTGCCTTGCCTTTTGCAGCTGTCTACCATTCCCATGGAAGTCTCTCCTACGGCCCAGAGCCTGGCTTTGCAAGGATCCCTGTGTCAGCCAAGAGGAACCCATGCTGGACCAGCAGCATGGTGGTCTGTGGCCCGGTGGTGAGCTGCAGCAATGGTGTTAGCAGCAGGAACACGAGGAGCTCCCACATGAAGGTGGCATCCAGGACCAAGTCAGCCAGGAGCAACATTTAAAGAGCTGTAGATAAATGGCAAAGCTGGAAACAAAGCAACACGCTCGCTTTTCTGCCATCACCCAGCAACAGCCAGCCCAGGGTGGGATCGTGTGCACCCACCTCCCCCAGACACCCATTTTCCATGCATGGAAGGGTTTTTCTATGCTCAAGAGTTTTGCTATTTCTGTGAGGGAATCTAGAAGCAAGAAAGGCTAAAATCCCCCTCCTCGCCCCCATGATGCACTTAAACCAAGATGCCTTTAGTCCTTCTGCTCCTACAGATTCAAGGATTAAAATGAAGTGAGAGAGACAGAGACCTTCTACCTAAGAACATTTTCATGAGAGCTTTATCCAGCTCAGTTCTCTTCACAGGTCCCCTGGATCAACCCAGTTTTATCAGACAACCTTTTAGGTTTGATGATCTTAAAGGTCTTTTCCAACCTCACCAATTCTATGAGGTGCCATGAGCAGAACTCACCCAAAACTGCCTAGCTTGTAGTTTCCCTAC